CCTGGTTGATTAAACAAAACCTTTGTATCAAGCCAATCTGCGCAAGAGAAAGAACATAAATATGAGAATAAAATTGCACTATATGTATGTTTATTTCCTTTTTTTCTAACCTAACACAGAACTGAAATCTGTGCTCCATATGAAGATTTTGAATACAATGTTTATTGAGGATGTTGGGGCCCAATTCATTCCCATTCTGATATATTTGTGTAAGTGTTACTGGGAAGTACAGTACAATGATTAAAAAAAGGTAAAAGCAGAACAAAAAAACGATTATAGGCCATCCCACAACTTTATTAAAAGTATTATGCCAGTAATTCAATAAACAATTAACTTGATTAATTAATATTAATTAAATGTTCATTGAATTTCATTCATAAGTTACTAGCTGTACCCGTTGCAGCTATGTTTGCAACCAAAGGATCCAATATGGAATGTAGATTTCAGTGATACCACTCACAAACCATTTAACATGCCATAAACATTGTGTGTACACCTTAAGCAAAACTGCCATACATGTGCGACGAGCTTGTTTGGGTCATAGCTCATGAAAGCTAGAAAATCCTATCAAAGGGCAATAGCTCATGAACAATAGAAGAGCTAATTTTGCCGCGCTCTTGCAATCCTTTCAACATTGAAGTCTAGCCGTGCTGTTTGAGCCTGCAACTCATTTTGCCATCCTTTTAGCTTTTCTCTGCATGCCTTTCTGTCAAAGTCCAACTATGCTGTTCTTTGTTCTTCAGTTTCATTTAACCATCCTTCCCTCTTTGGTTTGGCATTTTAATTTGTCCTTGAAAGGCTTGATCTTCGCTTAGACATCTTTAAGATTAAGAAAATGTGTTATTGGGAGGACTCCTGTTGGGAGGACTGAGTGTGAAGACTCAGTGGGAGGACTCCTTGTTAGAAGGACTCCTGTTTAGGAGGACTCCTGTGGGAGGACACGTGGTTGGGAGGACTCCTGTGGGAGGCCTCCTATTGGGAGGACTCCTGTGTGATGAGCTTGTTTAGGTCATAGCTCATCAATGATAGGAGATCTCAAAAACAAATATGCCCAATGCTACTCCTCCATGCAAGACCTTTCCGATGAGGTATAAATCATGTCTCTACCTCAATTGGTTATTGCGTTCTTGAGAGATGGACACACAGGCAGACATTTTGCATTTATTAGTATAGATGATTTTGTGTAGAACCACATAAACCTTTTTTAAAAAAAGTCTCAGAAACATTATTTTCACCCACAAAATATATAGTCAGTCCACGATACAGTATATCCTGTGAAGCGTTTTGAGATATCTCAATGACATCATTAGGTCTATATTAAATGCAAGAATTTTTATTACGATAATAATCCTTGCATTTAATTATAGCGCCTGATCACATCATCAGAAGACTCAGCTACCTACACAGGATATAAAATGTAGTGACTGTGTATTTGTAGGCAAACAACGATTTTTGGCACAGACAAATTCCCTTCTCTTTTGAAATCAGTGCAATGGAATCTTTAATGTCCACCTGAACAGGCAGGCAGGACCTTGATTTAACATTTCATCCAAAGGATAGCACTTCCCAACAATGCAATGCTCCCCCCGGGTCTGCATTAGAGTCTCAACCTGGCCCTAGGCTGTGAGCTCAAAATCCAACGTGGAGCTTGAACCCACAACCTTCTTGACTCAGAGGCAAGCATGCCACCAACGGAGCCAGAGTGACACCTATTAACTGGATGATATCATAAGATAGCTATTACTTTGGTATTTGAATATGTAGTTAGTTACTTAGTAGACAATAAGTACAATAAACCCTTAATGTTTTATGAATATAAAACAGGTTTTCAGTTCATAATCGTAAGTGTTTTCTTAGGACTTTTCCCTTCCACCTCTGTCTTTAACACCAAAAAGTGCACTTTCAGAGATAATGAAAATTCCCCAGGCAAACCAAATTGGTTTTATATGGGTATTTCACTCTGAGGATGTACTCCTCTTGTCATTGAGTCTACTCTTGTACTCCTCTTTTATGAAAATTGCTTAACGCCACCTACTCTAAAAGATTTACATGATTCATTTACTCCCCACTACCATTAGAGGGCTCTGTATCAACAAATTATTTAAATATACAGTAATGTGATTCTACATCCAAACACCATTTGTGTGTGAATATAAATGAAGTGTGAAAAATCACCTATTCATCCTTTATGATGCCACAGCATTTAATTAGATTCATTTGGAATTTGGATTGAACCCCGCCGCATCACGTCCTGATCATTGGAAACATATCCCTTTGCAGATGTTGGAATAATTTGAATTTATTTTCTGATATACTCTTAAAACTGGGGAGAAAATGTGAAATTTCATAATTAAATGGCATATAATTGTCTAATTCTATATTTATTAAAAACAATGACATTGTATATTTGAAATCACTTGTATTTTACATCAATTTGTTTTAATTAATTTTGTCGTCAACTGTCTATCATGTTCCTTATTTAACTGTTGAGGCTCAGTTAAACAGCTTCATAGCTACAGCCTCTGTCAATTGCAGCTTTGCCATGATGGTATAATTCCCTTAGATGCTTCTGCGGAGGAGAGCAGTTCTTAACATTGTGCCTACATTACCTTGAGGGCGGAAAACATTGGTAAGGTATTTAGCTACCTTGTGTGTTATAAATTGAATGTAGCTTAGTGGATAGAGCACTCACTTCAATTCCCCGGCAGGGTGAAACCTAAGGCAAGTTTCCTTACACCACAAAGCATCTGTTTACCTAGCAGTAAGTAGAAACTTAGTTATTAAAATGGTGAATCACTTTCTGAGGTAATAAGCTCTCCCAAAAAATAAATAAAAAATAAAAAATCTGGTCACTCAATCCAAGACTGTTTGTGGGACGCTGCTGTGTGCAATTGGTTGCCGTGTTTCGCCCACAAAATACAGTCACTACACTTTACAGTATATTCCAAGAAACGCTTTGAGATGTCACAATGACGTGATAAGGCACTATATCAAATGCAAGGATTATTATTATGAATTCTGACAAAGGGTCGTGGACCCGAAATGTTGACTCACTTTCCTTTCTCCATAGATGCTGCCTGACCTGCTGAGTGTTTCCAGCGACTTCTGCTTTTGTTTCAGATTTCCAACATCTGCAGTATTTTGCGTTTTATTATTATTATTTTTAGTTTAATGTATATAGCATTTCGATTCAATAAAATATGCACTTTTGAGATGTCAACATTTGTAGTAAATATATTACTGTTATGTCTATCACTTGCCACGGAGCCATATTCAAGCACCTCAAGTATGTTAATAAATGTTTGAGGGTTCAGCTATTCACTTGGTTGGAAATTGGCATTTTGAAGGGGAAAAGTACATCAAAACGCCTAAATAAGAGGAACGAACAACATACAACGTGGACACGGATTTCACTTGAATAGAGCTGGGCAGATTAGCAACAAATGCTAAATCCCGGAAACATTTGCAACAGATTTCATAATATGCATCAAAGATCACCCTTAACGTGATGGACTGTGCATTTAACATGGGGTCAACAGCTGTGAGTATACTTACGTCTAAAAAAATGCATTAGGCACAGCTTATGTTTATCGGGTCTACGTGGAATCTTTACCCCTTGAGCTGAAATAGGGATTCGTAGATAATGCTCACTTTGCGTCCGTCAACCAATACGGTTCACAGCAAAACCCTGTGAAGCACTTTATGATATATAATAATAATAATACTTTGTGGTGTTTCAACGATGTGATAAGCCGCTATACCAAAAGCAAGGATTATTTGGTATTTTTTTTGAGTCGAAACCACTGACACCAACCAGCCTTGTGTTCCTATAGGATCCCAAGACTGGCATTGGCATTCACCTCGTGATTTGATGCACGGTTATGGGTTTGAATTCCCTGATTACATGACGACGAGAGACGTTCAAGAGATGTGCAAAAGTGCGGGGGAAATCCAATATACAGAATGACATTTGGATCTCCAGCGTTGCTAAAGGTTTGCACACGTTTCCTTTGGCGTGGTCATGCTTTGCAGTCACTTGAAATGCAAATAACACGAAACGGGAGGGGGTGAGGCTGGGGAGGGGGTGAGGCTGGGGAGGGATGTCTGTGAAGCAAGATCTCAGAAGGTGATGGATGGACTGACAGGTACAGGAGGAACCCGGGGAGGAGAGCTTTACTCGCCGCTGAAACTGACGTCAAGGACGCGGGCGCCTCTCGCTTTAATTGCTCTTTAAAGTAACGTGGAAAGGGAAGCGAGAGAGAGAGTGATAGAGGCGAGAGAAAGAGGAGAGTGACAGAGGCGAGAGAAAGAGGAGTGACACAGGCGAGAGAGAGGAGAGTAAGAGATTTGAGAAAGAGGGGAGGGGAGAAGTGTAAGAGAGGAGAGGGTGTGATAAACGAGAAAAAAAGAAGTGGAAAGAGAGACGATAGAGAGAGAGAGAGAGAGAGACGAAGAAAGCAGAGATAGAGTAAGGGGAGAAGAGGAGAGAAGGTAAGAGGCCAACACGCGATATCCCTCTCGGACTCCCAGTGGCCGCGAGAGAGAGAAAGTGGAGAGAGGGGAGAAAGAGAGGAAATAGAGAGGGGAGAAGTGAAGAGAGAAAGAGAATTAAAAAAAGGAGAGAAGAGAAGGAGGTAAGAATCCAACAAGCGAACTCCCGGTTGGGCTCCTAGTGACACATAGAGGAGAAGGGGAGAGAGAGGGGAGACAGAGTGAGAGAAAGATAGGAGAGAGAGGGAGAGAGAAAGGACAAATAGAGAAGAAGAAGGGAAAGAGGAGAAGGAGATAAGAACCCAACACCCTCCCTTACCTACTGGGCTCCCAGCGGCAGACGAGAAGCTAGGAGAGAGGGAACAGAGAGAGGGAGAGGGAAGGAAAGAAAGAAGAGAGGAGAGAGCAAGAGGGGAGAAGAGGGAGAGAGGAAGAAGAGAGGGAGAGAGAAAGAGAGGAGAGGGGGAGAAGAGAGGAGAGAGAAAATAAGAGAGGAGAGGAGGAGAGGCTGAGGGAGAGAGAAAAGGAGAGAGAGAAGAGGAGGAGAGAGGGGAGTAAGAAGCCAACGGAGCGAAGAAGGCTCCCTCTGGGCTCCCAGAGAGGCGGCTGAGGGGCGATGGCTCTGCCGGACACGGGTGTGAGCTCGGCGGTGGCGGCGGTGGCGGCGGCGGGAGAGCCGACGCCTTTCCCGGAGATCGTGGAGTTGAACGTGGGCGGACAGGTGTACATCACCCGGCACCTGACGCTGCTGAGCGTGGCGGGCTCGCTGCCCGAGCAGATGTTCGGGGGTCCGAGCGCGGCGGGTCTGGCCCGGGACAGTAAGGGCCGCTTCTTCATCGACCGCGACGGCTTTCTGTTCCGCTACATCCTGGATTACATGCGGGACCAGCGGGTGGTGCTGCCCGACCGCTTCCCCGAGAGGAGCCGCCTGCAGCGGGAAGCCGAGTACTTCGCCCTCCCGGAGCTGGTCAAGGCGCTGAGCCCGAGGCTGAGCAAACAGAACTCGGTCAGCGAGGACGCCTGCCCCAGCGACCCCGAGGAGGGCTCCCCCTGCGCGGACACGCCGAGGACCCTGACCGCCGCCTCCTCCGCGTCGTCGTCGGCCGCCGCCGCCGCCGCGAACGCAACGGTTGCCAACGCGACCGCCGCCGCCGCCACCGCCACCAGCCCCGGCGACAAGAGAGCCGGGTTCATCACCATCGGCTACCGCGGCTCCTACACGCTGGGCCGGGACAGCCAGACCGACGCCAAGTTCCGGCGCGTGGCTCGCATCATGGTGTGCGGGAAGACGGCTCTGGCCAAGGAGGTGTTCGGCGAGACGCTGAACGAGAGCCGGGACCCCGACCGCCCCCCCGAGCGGTACACCAGCCGCTACTACCTGAAGTTCACCTTCCTGGAGCAGGCCTTTGACAAGCTGGCGGAGGCCGGCTTCCACATGCTGTCCTGCAACTCCACCGGCACCTGCGCCTTCGCCCACGAGCAGACGGACGACAAGATCTGGACCAGCTACACCGAATATGTGTTCTACCGTGAGTGAAACTGGCTCATCATCTCCCCCCCCCACCACCACTCCAACACCAACACCACCCCCACCCAATCTTGCAAAGATAACCCCCCCACAAAAACTCGTGCCTGTTGCTTCTTCTCCCACCCCACCTGCCAACCTACCCCCCCCACCCCCCCACCACCAGCCAACCAACTGACCATCTCCTGACCTCCTGCCTCCAGAGGATTTAGATCAGAACTCGATGCCTCCAAAAGCCCCACCTTGGGTTGTCCTTCCAGCTTTGACCAGCGTTGCTGCCTCTCCCCACCCCCCACCCCCCAGTCTCAAGCTCTCCTCCTGTTCCATTGGGATGGACAAACTTTTTTTATACTGTATGTGTGTGTGTGTATATATATACATATAGACACCCTTCCCTCTCCACCCTCCTTCCCTATATTTGACTGACTTCATGATGATAATGATGATAATCCATGCGTTCGATATAGGGCCTTATCACGTTGTCGAGAGACGTCTCGAGGAGCTTCATACACGATATTCCGTAAAGTGGATTGAATCGACTTTGTATTTTGTGGGACTTTGCAAATACCGTTTTGTTTACATTCCTCACGGGCCCCCCTTTGCGGTGTCGGCCTTTCCATTTTGAGGGGGGAGCAAACCGAGAAAGCACGGCTAAAGGGTTATAGAGTGCGAGCAACTGTTTGCATCCCTATTGAATTATAATCGATGCGTCGCCAACGATTTCGAAGCCAGCCCCTTCCCCTCTTTCCTCTGTCTGTTCAAAATATCTATCGTTGCCTTTGGTGGGCATTGGGTGTCCTTTTTTGATGCCTCTGACAGCTTCTAAGTGGCGTATCCGAAAGAAAGGTATAAGAATTCACAATCGCTCTTTGCAAAGGAACTGTCGAGAACGAGAGCATCCGACGGCAAGAACATTGAAGTTTCTCTTGCAGTTGAGTCAGGGAAGAGACCTTTGTTTCTACGAAGCAGATAAGTGCGTATATGATCCTACACCATGAATGTGGCAGCTGTTGGCGAAACCAGGGAGGGAGCTCACAGTTTATTTTTTTGATATAATCGCCAGTGAAAGAATTTGATTCTTTGAGCAGGTCAGCCGTTCCAAACAAAACAAAAATTGCCATTTTTTTTTGGACAATAATAATCGTAATAATCCTTGCATTTGATACAGCGCCTTCCATGTCGGGAGGGAACTCTCAAAGCGCTTCACGGGATTTACTGTAAAATGTAGTGACTGTGTACTTTGTAGGTCATTGCGGCAGCCAATCTGAGCACAGCAATGCCTCACAAACAGCCACGAAGTGAATGACCGATACTGCGCAATGGGTTTTTAATGAGATGCAGTTTGTAACCTATTCTAAATGTTTGCCAAATTACGCGTAGCCTTTAAAGAAAAAAAACCCTCCCGCAAATTTCAAGTGAAGTTACTGTTGTACGATTTTGGATAAAACTGCATGGGTTTCTGCTTAAACAATTGTGCAGACACCTCCAGTTAAACTTTGATGTCTCTTATGATATGCGTATGTGATATGGTTTAAAAAAATAAAGCTATTTTTGTGTCTAGAACCAATGGCACAGTCTTGACAGTTTAATTTGTATAGAGTTATTTCAATCTCAGAATTTTGGCTGCATCAATGGGAAAGGACATTTCCTGCTGCAAAAGAATTACTCTAATCTCCACCGTAAAAGTGTCTTGAGACTTAAGAGCAGGGAATGATTGGAGCTGCTTTTAATGATTGAACAACATTTATGATTTATACTTGGCAACAAAATCGGAAAAATGGGTAAATAGTCTGATGATAGATAAGGGGGTGAATTTATCAGAGAATTCGGTATTGCTTTGATTGTATTTGTGTCGTTCTCATACGTCCACCGATGACCAAATGATGATATCGTGAAAGCCTAATCACTACCTCACCTCCCCCCGGCCAAAAAAAAACTTACAACAGATAAGCTTTTAAAAATTGCTTTGGTCGAAGGGAAATTTCAGCTTCCTTGCTTTGGAAAAATTAATTCTAATGATTTTTGTCATTAAAAGGCTCTGCTTGAGCTGAGCAACACTGATCTGCTTCAAATTGTGATGCAATTTACAATCTGTTACTGACATTGCATCCATAAGTTTAAAGGAGAATTATAACTGTTTCCGCCAACCCCCTTTTGTCTCTCTGTGTTTCTTTTTTTGGAAGAAGGTTCCTACTATGGGCCATCTGTTTATAGAGCAGCATTTGGAGTACTTAGTGCAAATGGCTTCCTAATTGTATCGTTCTACATGTCAGACCCATGTTGTTCAGTATAACATAAGGGAGAGGACAGCATAAGAGTTGTGCATGGCGGATTGTAACCACAAGCGTACTCTCAGTGAATTGGATGGTGTCATTGAATGTTGTATGACTGAACATAGTATTATATATTGCAAGCAGTTTTCAGCATAACTGCAGATGAGGTGCATCCTATATAATCCACAAAGCTGTATATCCTTACCCTTTAAACATTATTTTGAAAAAGAATGTGAATACTGTACTGGACTCAGAGAATTGTTTCAACTTAAAATAATAGGTTGTGCAGTTATGTAGTAAATAGTGCATCCCTTTCACTTTGGAAGATTAATTTTAATTGTGCCCAGTTTATGGTTTAGTCCCTCCAACTCATTGAGAATTATCACCACAAACCTGCCCAGCCTCAGAAGGATAAGGGATTGGGTATAGCAAAGTTCAAAGCAAATCATTCCTGGGCAGGAAATTGAGCACCTCAAACACTGCCTCTCTTTGGTAAGCCTTTGCAGACTGTATAAAGCCTCTTACACCGGAGAATTTGTCATGGTATTCAATCTTCCAGAGATGTTTTGCACAGTGGGGGGGATTTAGCTAGGGAGGGAAACCAGTCACCAGAACAATTTCATTTCATTAAAAACATTTAGACTTTGGAGCGTATTCTTTTTACTCACATGTTTTTAATGATCTTTTAAAAAAAAATAAGGAGTGTTGGCAACAGCACGCACTTCATAATATCAAAGATTTGTTTATGTTAATGTTTATTTTTTATTTCTATCTTTAATAGGGTAACGGTTTACTGCTAATGGTATGATTAGTAGTCAATGTGGGGTAGTTGTCACGTGGATAGCGTGAAACAGCTGAATTAATATCAGTAGAATTTTACTCATTAACCGAGGTTGCTCTCACAGTTGTATCATTTCAACGATACAGCAACTCAACTCCCTCAGACATTCAAGCTCAGTGAAAGTCTCCATGTTGTTTAATGTCAGGAGCATAAGAGCTGTTGCTGATAACATTGTGAGTCAGAATAAAATGTCAGTACTGAATATCAATGGCAAAGCTTTACAGGCTACTTCTGGTGCCCCATTGAGCTCTTCCTCAAACAGTCTCATCACCTCGAGCTCTGTCGATAGATTTTTGTTATTGAGTTGAGGTACAGATCAGCCATCATCAAATAGATTGGTGGAACAAGCTTGAGGGGTTGAATGACCTACTCGTGTCACTATGTTCCTATGGCTCCACTATGCAGAAGTTACCAAATGCAGCTAGCTTCTGTTGATAAACAGAACCCCCCCCCTGCCCCTGCTCCCCCCACCCTACACAGAATTTCTTATGGTTGTAGCCTTAAGGCCATTACATTATAATTTAAGATGGTGCAGAATTTTGTAAATTTCTCAGATTGAGTGTTATTTTGGAGGCTGCCCTTTACACTGACTTCCAAATTAAGACTGAATTAATGAATTTTACAAAAATCAGCACGATCTTAATGATTTAAGATTGTTGTTTTAAGGCAAAGACCACGGGATTTTCTGAGCTCTCATGAATGTAAATGAACTGTATCTCAGGCCATGGGCAGCACTGTGTGGGGTAGTAGCTCTAGTATCTGGAACAAATGTGACAGGTCTTCTTAATAATAATGATGATAATCTTTGCACTATCACGTTGTTGAAAATAATAATAATAAATAATAATAATCCTTGCATTTGATATAGCACTTTTCACGTCTTCTAGATGTCTTGTGGGCGAAATGCGGCAGCCAATTGGGCACAGCAGTGTCCCACAAACAGTCATGGATTGAGTGGCCACATTTTTTTGGAGGGATTATTATCTCCGGAAAGCGATCCTACTTACTGCGAGGGAAACAGTAAGAAAACTTGCCTAAGGTTTCGCCCTGCCCGAGAATCCGAGAGTCCTCTTGCTTGTGAGGCAAGTGCGCTAACCACTATGGTACGGGTGTCTACAAAGCTGTCAACATCACCTGGGCCATCGCTGTTGAGACTTTTGTTGTTACTCCTCCATTGCCAATTCTCGCTGTGGTTGCCAGCGTTGTCCGCTTTACAAAAACATAAAAGAAACGGAAAACGCAAACCAAAAGAATGTTGAAATTGGGCATATTGCAAGTTTTCGAAAGCACTGATCCTGACAATCCCTTTTTCAGTTTATGTAGGCAGGTTAAGGGATGATTGCTAGAGTGCTTCTTGCATTCTCGAATCTATGACTCATGTTATGAGCTCGGAAAGAGAATGGATTTATGGTACCTTTATTTCATTAAAATCATTTTTAAAACAAAACTATCTCAAGGATATTGTTTATATCGGGCTATCGACAATAAAACTCTTCCCTGACCCAAGTTGAAGGTTCTGTTTATTTAATAGTAGATTTCATGGTTTGTTTCCAAACACAGCCGTTTGCCAAGTGTTTTGGAAATGTACCACTTACTCAGTTGTGAAGCAACTGAGGTTACATAATGTTAATTAGGCGATGTCAGTCTGCCCTCCACTCTGTTCAGAGTAAGGTAATTTCTGAGTGAAATGGCTGTATGTGTTCCACTGTTTTGGTCTTTTACCAGCTCTCAATTAGCCCACTGGCAGGGAAGAAATCAGGATTGTTAGACCAGAGCCTATGTTCTTATACCTCATTTTGCTTCATATCACAAACTTCTTAATCTCACGCCTTTATCTTTGTCGATGTGAAAAACTGCCCTTTTGCACCACCTGCAGTCTTCGTTTGAACTAGAGTAATATATAATAATAATAATCCTTGCATTTGATATAGTGCTTTATCACGTTTTTGTGACGGCTCAAATCGCTTCACAGAATATACTGTAAAGTGAATTGACTGTACATTTTGTGGGTGAAACGCTCAGCCAATTGCGCACAGCAGTGTCCCACAAACAGTCATAGATTGAGTGAACAAATTATTATTAATTTTTACTTATTTATTTTTAGAAGGGATTATTACCCCGGAAAAGCGATCCGCCGATCGACTAACAACCGGGTTTCCACTTACTGCTAGGTAAACAGGCGTGTGGAGTAAGGAAAACTTGTCCAGCGTTTCTCCCTGCCCGGGAATCAAACCCAGGTCCTCTCGCTTGTGAGGCGAGTGCTCTAACCACTAAGCTACAGGACTCCACAAAAAAAAACATCTTTCTTCTATCTGAAAATGTCTGCTCCCTCTCCAGTCATCTCTCCATTGTCCTGTTTGCATCTCTATCCAGCGTTATGTCAACATCTTCCATTACAGTAATTATAGAGACAAATTAGGGTATTTTAGAACTGAAGATTGTGGATTTCAACTGCATTAAATGTTTGCTCAATTTACTGACACTCCCACATTGTTCTGTTACATACTTTTTGGTTGATTCCTATTTTACCATTTTTTTCTTTCCATTCTGTGGTTGTCCATTCCTCTCTCTAAATCACTGGTTAATTTTATGGTGCCTGAAGTGAAAGACCAAAAGAAAGATATCATTAGACACCAGGACACAACGAGGTTTTAAACAAAACACTTTTCCAATAGTAAGAAAAAACAACACAAAATTGTCTGGTTGATAGCTCACCATTTTCATTGAACTATCATTAAAATAAAATGGTGTGCCAGTGCAATTTCAGCAAACATGAGTCTATTTTGTGAAGAATCTGCCCTTGTTCCCATCATGCCGGGCTGTTGTGATGGAACCTATTGCACAAAAAGAAACAAAAACGTCTTTCTTCCAGTTTCCAGTCTGAGAAGAGAGAGTAATTCAGATCAACAGATTAGCAGAAAAACTACGCAAAGATTTGAAATTTGAATGAACAAGCAATTTCTGTTGAAACAGAACTGAATTGTGGAGAGAGGGGAAAAAAGATTGCTGTACATTGCATGTTCTAACAGGCGTTTGAAATATCAGTGGATATTCAGCATCCTGATTCCATCCCCAAAGTGTATTATAATAGTGACATCAAGCAATCTCAACTGGTTAACTGGAATTACAGAACTACGAGGATACTAATTAAATATCAATTTTGTCAAAGCTTAATAGATAGAGTACATGATATTTTAAGTCTCTTCATGATGAAGTTGATCACAAGGCACTTCCGATTTGCTTTAACCAATAATCTGTTTGTCTAGTTTCACTTGTGTAGAAAGTTACAAAGCAAATACGGGAAATTTTAAGCTATTTTTACAAGGATGACAAGATGACAAACTACAGTAATATCACAAGGTGGCTCAATAATGCGTCATAAACAACAACAACAAAATTACATTTATAGAGTGCCTTTCACTTTGGGAGGACGTCTCAAAGCACTGAACAGTCAGGTGTCGGGGCCCGAGCATGAGGGAGGGGTGGTGTAGGGGTGAGGGAAGGCAGAGAGGTGGAAGGGCGACCAAAGGCACAGTCGAAGAGAAAGGTCTTGAGACCGGCCTTGAAGGAGGCAAGGGAGGAAGCGAGGTGAAGGGACCGTGGGATGGAGTTCCAGAGTGTGGAGGCAGGGAGGCTGAAAGCCCAGCCACCGATGGTAGGGCGGGTCGGGCGGGAGACATGGAGCAGACCGAAGCCCGATGAACGGAGGGGCGGGCAGGTTGGTAGGGAGTCAGCAGGTCAGAGAGGTAGGAGGGGGCAAGGCCATGGATGGCCTTAAAGGTGAGGGCGAAGATCTTGAACTCGAAACACAATCAATTGAATTCATTTTCGTTGCAATCTGCTGTATGTATTACAGTTGAATATATTGTCATCTGTGTAGTGTAATACATATACGAACGCTCAACTCAAAGCGTAATCTTTGCGTTTTGCAAACTAGACCCCATTGTTAATGTTGAAAAATGAGTTTATCACAAAAAGATAGAAGTTGAAAGCAGTTGTTTTGATTAAAATAAAGTTAATTCCAGGCTCCTGCCTAAAAAACACCACTTAAATAAATGATCATCGGTCACGCAGACATTTTAAAATAGAGCATTTCGCAGTTCACAGCCTCAGAGTGTGAAATTGTATTGCCTGCAAATGCTTAACACTATCCCTCACTGCAGAAAAGTAAAAATAACTTGTGGAATCTAGACATAAAACCACAGAATGTTTCAACACAGAAGAAGCCCATTATACTCACTCTACACAAGAGTCATCTGCTTAGTCCCACTCCCCTACAGAATCGAAGCGAAAAGAAAAAGGTTCACAGTTCTCAATGCCTGGTTAACATCCAACGTCTCACATCGTGTAGCTTTGATGTGAGCACTGCACACAAGTCACATGTGCCAGCCAGGTGTCAGACCCATGCAGAGACCCATGCTTCAGACAGGATCCAAACCAGACTGAGAGTTTCATGCATGCCACCTACACATTGAAATTCCCTTGACTGGAATGGGACAGGAACTCATTCCTAGGAAGGTCACACCCTGCTTACTTAATTCCTGACGGTTAAGTATAGGTTGGCAAGAGCTAAGGCTTGGGGAGCCTAGGGAGTGCATTATACGTATAGAAATATAGATATCACTTAACCATTAACAACAACAACAAGATTACATTTGTATAGCGCCTTTCACGTCAGGAGGACGTCCCAAGGCGCTGGACAGAGTACAGCATTTCAGACCTGAGCTGGGGTTGGGGATGGAGGGAGGGAGGGGACGGGAAGGGGGTTGGCCGATGGCATGGTTGAAGAGGAGGGTCTTGACCAGGATCTTGAAATGGATCCTCTGAAGGATAGGGAGCCAGTGGAGTCGGGCGAGAATGGGGGAGATGGGGTCACAGAGTTTGATGCGGGAGAGGACACGGGCTGCAGAGTTCTGGATTATCTGCAGTCTGTGGAGGGAGGAGTTGGGAAGGCCGACAAGCAGAGCGTTTGCATAGTTGAGCCTGGAGGTGATGAAGGCATGAACAAGAGTTTCAGCGGCCTGAGAGGTGAGGTAGTGGCGGAGTCGGGCGATGTAAGGAGGTGAGGGAAGGCATGGCTTGAATTTGCGGGAGAAAAGACAGTTGAGGGTTGAACAAAACACCTAGGTTCCTGACTGGCTTGGTGAGTTATAGTGTGCAACGAACTGCCAAGCAAGCTGCAGAGTTTGTGATATCAAGTTACTGCAGCAATTATTCGGTAAGGAAGAAAAGTTTGAATAAAGAAAGAAATTTGGATACAAAGTGAAAACTGGCGTTTCAGGAATTATTGTTACAGGTTTTTGCAAAGTGTGGTTTGAATTCAGAAATATGGTATTTGGGTTAAAATTTCACTTGTATCTGAGCCAAAGATCCAAATGTGTGGTTTACTGAATTACATAAGTTAATTACTATAATGTTTAAGAGGTGCAGTCTGAAATGCGCCTTTGGAATTTGAAATTACAACACTGTTTGCTGGGTGTGATGGCTTCTCCTTTGATTACGCTGCATTTTTTTTACTGTTTGTAACTGTACTTTGCAATGCTTCCATTAGCTGTAAAGCTCTGACTGTTTTTTCCTAAACAGGTTGTCCCAACTCTGTGAATCAGATGGACAGCATTGATCACCTGATTGGAACAGGTAAGCAACCACAACATTACAACAGATCCTACTCGTTAATATACAGCAGGTGCCTGCAAACAATCAATGTGCTTTGTAGCCTGTGACTACAAGAGCTGTGGTGAAAGTTTGAAAGCAATCCTCTTTGTCATAGTTTCTCTGGCTATATTGCAATCTGTTTTTGTAATCTTTGCAAATGGATTTTCACAATAGTTGAGCAAGAAATTCTCCGGAAAGAAGCATAGGTCAGCATATGATTGGCCACATAGCTGGGATTAGTTTAGCTTTAGAAATACTTAAGGGGTGTTTTTACAAAAATAATCCAGTCACTAATTCCTTCTGTGGCCTCAAATACTGTAGTGCTCTTTTGTTGTGCTACTGTCTTTAAGCTATTAAGTATGCTACCAGTTTGGTTACTTTATAGAGCATTATTGTCAGAAACAGTTAAAAATAATGGTTTAATACTACGTGGCTAATGGAAAGATAAAGTCAGATTGAAATTAAACAAGGCTTAAACATTTATTGGAGTTGGCAGAAGATCATCCGGATGGTTAAGTGATCTCAAACTCCCACAATACTTGTCTGTTCTGGGCCATGAGTAGGGGAGAGGGAAAGAAACATTTAAACCATTTTAACAGCTGAGTTCAGAATCGCTATATTATTCTATCTCCTGAACAACACGTTGGTTGTGCCAGACTAGACAGTACAGTGTCATGGGGTTTTATTTCCACAAAGCTGGCTTGACTGCATTTGTTTTTAAGCATGCCTGGCTTACTTGCACAATCAGCTTGGTCTTGCATTGCTCGTTTCATAAAAATAATACATGCATTTGACATAGCACCTTATCATGCCAAACTGCTTCACACAGTTTACAGCAAAATGTAGTGAAGGTATCTGTAGACAAATGCAGCAGCCAATTTGTACACAGCAAATTTCCACAAACAGCTATGGAGTGAGCAGTCAATTTTTAAATTGGAAGATTGCTGGGCAAGATATCGAGAGAAACTCGTTGCTCGTTTTGAAGTGCCGTGGAATCCGTGGTGTCCACCTGAACAATTTGGGAAATTGTTGAAATCAATCTTACCTTTGAAGTCGGTTTTCTTCAGTTCTCAAAAGAACTTGCAGGACACCAGTTTGAAACTTAAGGCTAAAATTTAGGAATCGGCCCAATTCTAGATGCTCTGAAACCTTCCATAAATAGAGTAAATCTAAGCTCTGAGGAATATCTCTATATCTATTTGCAAGTATAATTTACCATCCAAAAGTGATTTGGTATTTCTTGTAAAAGAACGTGAGTTTTTATTTGTAATCTCTCTAATATTGATCATCCTTCTGGGTTTAACAGGGAGATTGGAAGAATTGTCTTTACGCAGAGGGTTGTTAGGATATGGAATGCTCTACCACAAATAACTGTTGAAGCTTAGTGCATAACAGCAATTCAACAACGAATGAGAAAAAATAATATTCAAGACTATAGGGAGTTAGCATTAGTATGAAATTAGAGTTGATAGCTCCAGTGGGGGAACGAGCACCAACGTAGACACAATGGGCCGAACTCAGTCTTCTATGCTGTGAACATTTTATGATTCTCTGAAATTAATTTCAATGTTGTGATGGATTTCACACATTAGGAATTTCTTTATCTCGCTCTGATTTATAACTCCTTCTTCACACACACAAACACACACTTACACAAAGGCTGAGTAAGCTTTCTCGGGTTCGCTTGGCTCAGAGATTGAATAGAAACATCATGTAGTCCTTACAGATGTGGAGTCCTATAGCTCATGATTAAAGCACTCGCCTCACAAGCGAGAGACCTGGGTTCGATTCCCAGCAGGGCGAAACCTTGGGCAAGTTTCCTTACTCTCCTTGCCTGATAATAATCCTTCAAGAAAAAAAACAATAATAATTTGGTCACTTCAATCCACGACTGTTTGTGGGGCACTGCTGTGTGCAATTGGCTGCTGTGTTTCGCCCACAAAAAATGCAGTCAATTCACTTTACAGTCTATTCTGTGAAGCGCTTTGAGACGTCTAGAAGTTGTGAAAAGCGCAATATCAAATTCAAGGATTATTATTATATAGAAATGTTATAGTGTTTGCAATCCTGGGGAACACTTAATCACAGAACAATCTTCACCATGAAACTAACATTTTTATTTGTGCGGGCTATATATATATTGTTTCACTTTTTGTGCAACCTTTGATCCAATACTTTGTTTGAAAGCTGTGCTTTTGCTGTTATTTGTAAACCCACTGCACAAAATACACAGGGATGTCACTGCGTTTATCTGATAGAGTACGCAGCAATAGTTTGAAGATTCACTTTGGAAAAATAATAATAATCCTTGCATTTGATATATCGCTTTATCATGTCGTTAAGAATATATTGAAAAGTGGATTGACTGCATTTTGTGGGCAAAATGCGCACAGCACTATCCTGCAAACATTGTCAAAACATTTTTTGGGGAGGGATTATTAGCCCCGGAAAGTGATCTGCCGATCAAATACCAATAAGGTTCCTATTTACTGCTCGGTAAACAGAGGCATGTGGAGTAAGGAATCTTGCCTAAGGTTTCACCCTGGCCGGGTCCTCTCACTTGCGAGGTGAGTGCCCTAACCACTGTGCTACAGGACTTGTACTTTTGTACTTCCTTGCACTCAGACTTGCGCGCTCTTGGGTTATAATCAGCAGGATAAGAAATGAGACAAGAGATGGAGAGACAAGTAGATTGGACTAGTTCTTGAAATAAACAGTGTGGGACATGCGGCAAGGTTCAGGTCATGAACATCCAGGTAGGTTGAAGTGGGCCTCGCAAGGAGAACAGTGAGCTGGATGGTGTGGGACTCTCACACAGACACACCTTGCCCAATTCTGTCCATTACCATGTGCTACAAGCCTGGAGTTGTTGTGTTCACTGCAGCTTTTACTGTTTGCATAGATTGGAATGAGTTTGATTTGCAATATTCATAAAGCAGCAAATTGCGAATACCTAACTTTGCTTTCAACCCAGTGAGGTTGCAATGGGGTGTATCAAAGAATGAGTAGGGTGGCAGAGGTGACATCTGGGAGGAACATAGAGAGAGGAACAATGACCATAGCAGTACTGATGAAACAGCAGATGCAGAGGAAAGAACACTACCCTGAAAATGTGATATAATTAGCACATCGCATACCACATTTTCCACCCAATTACATGCCAAAATTTTGAAATATTTCACCACAAAGATCTTGTAGATTCTACAAAGGGTTATGGAATTAAAATAGCAAGTTACTGAGCCACGAAGAATGCAGAGTTGTGGAGTTCATTTACTATTTCTAGCTTACAAAATAGTTTTAACTTCTACGTTTCAGTGTCTTAATTGCAATCGAGTCTATGTGTAAAAAAGCCAACCATTAGTTTTCATATCAGCCTTGAAACCTGTGACTCTAGCGTGCCGCCTAGGTTTAACACTGGAGGATCAGTCTGATCTATTATACGTGCCAGTGTGTGTAGCCGGACTGGATCTTGGCTTACGTGCCAGATTTTTTAAGTGCTTACGTGCCACATCTTGTGTCTGCCTTGTATCATTCTGCTATAACTCTTGATAGGAACCGTCATTAAGTTGCAGTTATTTTTTATAGCGGTTTCACTACCTTTGGAAAAAGGCAAGCACCCAGATAACAAGACATTTGCTCAAACAGTTCTGCGCTGTGGAGATTCTTTCAGCTGAGTTAGATCTTATCTGGAGCAACTCTGTAGCATAATTTTCCATTTTTAATAAAGAGCTCTGTGTGTCTTTAACGCGAGGGGCAGAAATCTCTTTCCAGGAAACAAATGCTATCCTTTTGGGACAAATTCATAACTTTGAAGGAATTCGGCTTTGCCTGAGTCATGATTTTCATTACCAAGGAAAAGGCTGGAGACAGAAGGTGAACATCTGTATTAATCATAATCCTTGCATTTGATGTAGTGGCTCATCATGTCATCGAGACGTCTCAAAGTGCTTCACAGGATATATTGTAAACCGATGTGATTGTACATATTTTGTGGGCGAACACAGTAGCCAATTTGCTCACAGCTATGTCCCACAAATAACAAAGGAGTGAGTTTTATTTGGGGGATTGTTGGCCAGGACTCTGGGAGAAACTCCCTTCTCTTTTGAATAGGGACATGTGATTTTTCAGGTCCACCTGGTCAGGGAGACAGATTTTCAGTTTAACGTCTCATCTGAAGGACGGATCTCCAACAATGCAGCACACGCATGGCATTGCATTGGAGTGTCATCTAAGACTGTGAAAGTTACAAGTCCTGTTGTGGAGCTCTGACTCAGAGGCGAGAGTGCTACCAACTGAGCCAGACTGTCTCTTGGTCTTAGGACACAATATAACATAAATAAATGAAATGCTATTTTCAGAGATTGATACCAGCATTTTTAATCATTTATTATGTGGAGCGCTTTGAGACGTCTCGAAGATGTGATAAGGCGTTATATCAAATGCAAGGATTATTATTATTATTCTTTCCCAAATCTGACTAAAGTAACATTTATTGTATGATGACTGTGTAAAGTTAATTGTGATAGGCACAATAGCTGTTCACATGTGTAACTCAATTTCCTGTGACATTGAAGCTGTACATTTTAAAGAACTTACATTTTGAAAGAGTCTTGAAGGTTGAAACATCTTAAAGTACTTACTGTAGTGACTGGAGAAAAATGGCTGGTGTGAATGACCAAGGGCAATTACAGTAATTTGGAGGCTTGTAGTCCATGTTACCAGGAAATACCCCTTTCTCTTTATAAATAGTGTCACAAGATGTTGTTTAATACCCACCCAGGCAGATAGGACTGTGGTTTAACATCTCAGCCAAAATATGGCGGGAGATCCCCACTTTCTGCATTGGGTTTACAGCCTAGACTATGAGTTCAAATACCAGATGTGGTGCTTGAATCCACAATTTCTGACACTTGCCTTTGTTTTATTGGAAAGTTGAATTGAAAAATAAATGCAACTTGCTTGAAATATCATCAAACTGGACG